CCTCAGCCTTTTCACTTTTTTCTTTTCTTTTCACTGTTCCGGGCTCCTGAGCACCCACGCCCCGGACTCCCCGGGCCCAGCTGACCCTCCCGCGTTAGTACCGCCTGGTCCCGCGGGGGCCTCGTCCTTCCGGGCGTCCCCTCGCCGGGGGGTGGGGTGGGGGAGGAAGAATGTTTTCCCAACCTTTTCTCCCCTAAGTTGGCCGACCTGCGCTCTCCTTCGTTTATCTCGATGGGAGGGAAGGGAAATAAAACTCCCGTTTTAATGTGGCAACCGCCTGGGACGTCGCTGGGCAGCTCCCCACGCTCTGCAGAGCTTGCCCCAGGGGAGGAGGGTGGCATCTCTCCCGCCTGCGCCAAAGAGAATCTTCAGTCATTAGTGTCTTTTTAAAAATATGTACACGTTTGCATTGATGTCAGAGAGGACGGAAGGGAAAGAGAGAGAACATCAAGGATGAGAGGGAATCATGGATCAGCTGCCTCCTGCACGCCCCACACTGGGGATCGAGCCCGAAACCCGGGCCTGTGCCCTTGACCGGGAATCGAACCTCCTGGTTCACAGGTCGATGCTCAACCACTGAGCCACCCCAGCCAGGCAGGTTCATCTTAATTCATAGCTGAAAGAAGATAGAAAAACTACTATAATGCTCACCCGTAACCCTAGAAAGTGTGAAAAAGAAACACTGGCTGCCATTTTGAGTTACAAAGCGTGAGCCAGCGTGGGTCCGAGTCCGGGACTGTTGCCGTGATGGCTTAGGAACAGCCGAGGTGAAGACTAAAATGACTCCGCTAATGAGAGTCAGAGTCACACATACAGTTACCCAGGTTGAGCATCGTCCCCTGTGGCGTGTTGGATTCTATAAATTGTGCAAATGCAACCCTCTTTGAAGAAAAACAAGTTTGTTTGTTTTCTTTGTAGGTAGATCCACATGTTTGTGGCGATGTATATATATATACGTGCGTTCACGTGATTTGATATGGGTAATAGCTAAAAATAAAAGTGTCTTTTTCCTTCTTGTGGTTGAGCAAACAGGAGAGACAGAAGATGAAGCGGAACAGAAAAGGATCCGAAAGAAAAAGGAAAACAAGAAGAGAGATACGGGGACCCCCGTGGCCTTGGGGGCCGAGCCCGCTCCCCCACCTGGTGCTCCTGTAAGAGGCCCGAGGAAGAAGGCTTCGAGCTTCTTCTCGGAGCTCCGGGAAGAGCTGCGGTGTGCCCCCTCCGTGACCCCCCCGGAGGCCCCCGCAGGCCCACAAGCCCCTCCGGCGGCTGCATCGCCCTCTCCCCTGAACAGGAGGGAGCCGGTGGAAGTGGTGGAATTCCACAGCAGGAGCAAGAAAAGGAAGCAGAGGCCGGATCAAGATGAGAACGCCAAGGTAATGAGCTGGTTAGTTTATGTGTCTGGGATGGAAACCCTGATGTTGTGGAACGAGGTGAATATCTTTATAGGCGATGTCAGCGGCCCCCAAGACCACACCCTAGCCTGGGGGACTTGCCGAAAGCACTCACGGGACTCAGCGTGCAGTCACTATCACGGTTACGTTTTTACTGATTTTTTTTTTTTTTTTTTTTTTAGAGGAAGGGAGAGAAAGAGAGAAAAATATCGATGAGATAGAAACATTGATCAGCTGCCTCCTGCACGCCCCACACTGGGGATCAAGCCCACAACCTGGGCACGTGCCCTGACCGGGAATCGAACCAGCAACCTCTTGGTTCACGGGACGACGCTCAATCCACTGAGCCACACTAGCCGGGCATATCACAGTTATGATTTATTGCAGCAAAAGGATACAGAGTAGAATGGGCAAGGGGAACAGGTACCTGGGCAGACAAGGAACCTAGGCACAGTGCCCAGGGTCCCCTCCCCAGGGAGCTGCCTGGGATGTGCTTTCTGTCCCCAGCAGCGAAAACCAGCTTGAGTTTACTGAGCAGCAATCTCTCTTAGACTGAATTGGTAAGTCTCTCTTGAAATTCAGTCCATGGGAGAGGTATGGTTGCTCAGCCAGGCTTGGCCACCATTTGTTTAGCGTTTACCCTTTACCAATGTCTAACTGGCAAAGGAAGTTCCTAATCCTGCCCACGTATAGAGTAGTGACCACAGAAGTAGTTTGACAGGAATAGTAGGTAAGAGATCGTTTATCCATTCATTTATTTACCCACAAATAACCGAGTGCCTGCTATTGGGCAGACCCAGGAAATCAGCAGGGAATGAGATTCAGTCCTTTGCCCTCCAGGAGTGTACCGTCTGCTGGTGGAAGCAGGCGAACCCCAGGAGAACGAACAATATCATGAAACAGAGTTATAAACGCTCTGAAGGAAAGATGTAGGTCCGAGGGCATGACATTAGACCGACTGCCCTGTTAAAGGCTTTTGTGACTTGAGGCAGAGGGAAGGCTGTGTGGCAAGGACCCCAAGGTGTGGAAAGGCCCGCTGGGTCTGGAAGCTGGAAGGCGAGAGGGAGTAGGACGGAGGGGAGGTGTGAGCTTGGGAAAGGCAGCTGCCCAGCCCGTGCCAGGTCCCGCAGGCGACGGCGAGGCCCTCAGGTTTTAGTGCCAAGTACATGCGATGCCACCAAAAAAGTTTAAGCACGGGCATGAGGTGGATTATAACTTAAAAAAGTCACTCTGGCTCTAGCCGGCGTGGCTCAGTGGATAGAGCGTCAGCCTGCGGACTGAAGGGTCCCAGGTTTGATTCTGGTGAAGGGCACATGCCCGGGTTGTGGGCTCGATCCCCAGTGTGGAGCGTGCAGGAGGCGGCCGATCCATGATTCTCTCTCATCACTGATGTTTCTCTCTCTCTCTCTCTCTCTCTCTCTCTCTCCCCTTCTCCCTTCCTTCGATCCCCAAATTTAAAGAAAAGATCACTGTGCCCCCTGCCCAGTAAGTGGGTTACAGGTCGGCTCGTCAGCTCCGTCTAACGAGGCAGGAGGGGACTGAGGCAGGACTTCCTGCAAGGGTCCCCGTCCAGTGGAGTGGCCTGGGCTTGGGATTCGAGGAGCGAGTGGCGAGCCCACTCTAAAGGGCCTTGCAGCACTGTCAGTGGGTGAACAGTAACGGCTTCTCAGGAAGTGTCATTTATAGTTTAGACGGTCCGAGTGTTGTTTGGCCCTTACGGCCATGTCTTCGTGCCATTTCTCCACCCCTCACGTCCGTCCATCACTGCCCCGTTCATGAACCTTAGCCTCTTCTGTGGCCTACGTAGAAAGGGGTAAGAAAAACATAAGAGAAATAATCGCCTGGCTGGTGTGGCTCAGTTGAGCATCGTCCCTTGTGACTCAGGGTCATTGGATTGATTCCTGGTCAGGGCACGTGCCTGGGTTGTGGGCTCGATCCCCAGTAGGGGGCGTGCTGGAGGCAGCCGATCCATGTTTCTCTCTCTCAAGTCAATAAAAACATATTAGAAAAAAATGTACTAGAACAGTGCACTGAGAGCGGAAGGGATCTTGGCTCCTATGGCCTGGACTGAGGTCCAGGTAGACTGCTTTTGAGCATATGATGGACTGCTCATGTTTGCTGGGTGCTTACTATTTACTAAACGTGGTTATTCTATTCATTAGCTAATGCATTATCTCAGAGTTCATGGCACCTAGCTGCCTTTTAAATCGTCGGCCTGCATTCAGACAGTAACCCCACAGTCTCAAATCTCTCGTTCCAAAACCCCAGAACATTCGACATCACAAGTTAGTGGGGCGTTTTTTAAGTTTGGTACAAAATTATTTGGCAGCAAAAACTGACCTGAACTGATATGAGGCTTAAGAATTATTTTTGTGTATTCATATGGCATGAATGTTCATAGATGCTACAGAAATACGAACGAATGTGCTTAATTATGGATTGTTGTCTGGGATCCCACTGCACATGGTGTATAATCTGCAGAATCCTCACAGCATTACCTCTTGGAGACGTAAAAGCCTGTGAATTTTCTGTGGATGTGAGGTCCGTGCCAGAGCTCATGTTCAGGCCTAAGGCCTCCTGGCGTGAAAGCTGTGTTCCCAGCTGTTGCACTAGAGAGACGGACTGTAGGTTAGCGTGGGCTCTCTGTCCTTGGAAGAACTCGAGTGCATTTTCCAGCACCTTCACTGTCAGAACGTTTTCCCAAGTTATTGCCCCGGGTTCTCCGTGCCCTCATGATCTCCACTGTTTCCAAATCACTCCCCCGGCCCTGACCCTGAAACCCTCCCATCTCCAGGTCACCCTTAGTGGTCTCCACCCTGTTCTTTTTTTTTTTTTTTTTTTTTTTCTCTCTTTTTTTTTTTTAAATATATTTTTATTGATTTTTTTATAGAGAGGAAGGGAGAGGGATAGAGAGTAAGAAACATCGATCAGCTGCCTCCTGCACACCTCCTACTGGGGATGTGCCCGCAACCAAGGTACATGCCCTTGGCCGGAATCGAACCTGGGACCTTTCAGTCCGCAGGCCCACGCTCTATCCACTGAGCCACACCGGTCAGGGCTACACCTTGTTCTTCAGTAGGTCGCACGTCAGCTGCCTGTTGGGAAGAAAATGATCTAGTTGAAGTGATTTATACTCAAGAAGACATGCCAAGTCTATCAAAACACGTAAAACCACTGCGTCACTGAAGTAGAAGTAGGTGTTAATCAGGATCCTGTGCAACATGCCTGTGTCATCGTTTGGCATTTAGGCATCTGGGCCCAGTTTCAAGGCCTTTTAAAACATGCCCACTCCGTCGGTGCTAGAGACTATAATGATGTGGTAACAGATGATCTTAATAAGAATTGTTTTTCCCTTTTCAGACCAAAGCTAGTATCCTTGAGAAAGATGTGAATATACAAGAATTTAACTTAGAAAAGGTATGTGTTTTGAAATTGCTAATTTTTCCATCTTTATGCGGCCAAAAACGATGGCTGTTAACACGTCCAGGGGTTGGGGAAATGGTTCAGCACATCACTACACCCTCTCGCTTGAAAACCGCCCGTTCATCTGAAACAAGACGGTTTTCTGTCGCAACACCAGTGCCACATGGAGGGCAGGAAAAGCAGGGATTCGCGAGTTCTGTGATGATAAACCAGGCTTCAAACTCGCATGAGAAAAAAGACAGGAGCAAGTAATTCAACTGCTAAGAGTAGGTATTGGTGACTGTCCCTCTTCTTTCTACATTATCTTTTAATGAAAAAAAAGCACACGGATCTGTGTTTAAAGCTGCTGTTAGTGGTTTCTAAGTGTAAGTAGGGATGCTTGGGGAGGGACCTTTAAGTGGAAATCATTGCCTCTGTGGGTGGCGGGGAGTTGAGCCTCAGAGAGCTGCAGGCTCTGTATCCACTGCTCCTGTCCCTCCTTCGTGCAGAGAGCACGCTTTGCCTCCGCTGTCCTCATTAAACCCGGGACGGTGTCCGGAGGGGGCGGTCACACTGCAGGAGACCCACGCAGCTCAGTGTCTTGCGGGCTGTCGTCGCCGAAGGTCATGAGGATGAGCACGAGTATCTGGCGCCAGCTCGTGGTCTCCAAAACGCATCCCTGATGGGGTGGCTTTCTCCTGGGGAGTTTGTGGAGAGCACTTGGGTCTGATTCTGCTTTGTCTCCAGGCTCGGCTGGAGGTGCACCGGTTTGGGATCACGGGCTACGGAAAAGGGAAGGAGAGAGTCCTGGAACGGGAGCGTGCGGTCATGCTGGGCGCACAGGTGAGGGACTGCTCGGCCTCCTGTCACCAGGCAGGACGCGGCCAGCCAGGGCAAGGGATGCTGGGAAATGGGTGCAGAATACAAAGTGATGAGGTGTCCCTTTTCTTCCATTGCAGCCTCCCAAGAAGAGTTACGTGAATTACAAGGTTTTGCAGGAGCAGATCAAAGAGAAAAAGGCAGCCAAGGAAGAGGAAAAGAGAATGGTAGGTGTCATGGCCTTTCCTTCATTAAAGCCAGAACAGAAAGGTGGTTGCTGTTTGTCACAGTGGTTGCTGGGCCCGGCTGCTTGGAAAGGTCTAGACCAGCGGTTCTCAACCTGTGGGTCGCGACCCCTTTGACAGTCGAACGACCCTTTCACAGGGGTCGCCTAAGACCATCCTGCATATCAGATGTTTACATGACGATTCATAACAGTAGCAACATTACAGTTATAAAGTAGCAACGAAAAGTAATTTTATGGTTGGGTCACCACATGAGGAACTGTATTTAAAGGGCCAGAAGGTTGAGAACCACTGGTCTAGACTCTACAGTTAAGGGACCAAATCCACTCCTCAGGTCAGCAGCGTTTTGTAATGCCAGCCAAGTGATCTGGTGTATTTGCATGGCCGTTTGCTTGAAGTCACAAACGCCTGTTCAGATCATGTCAGCTGCGTGCATCGCTTTCCTGTACTCGGTTCTTTTTTTTGTATTTGGTGTTGGTCAGTGCACAGGGGCTTTGAAACAGCACAGGGGATGGGTGTTCTACTCCCTTTCATCTGAAAGGGAGAGTGGACTTTTTTTTAATAGCTTTTGCATTTACTCTCTTTTTTTAAAATATATTTTTATTGATTTCAGAGAGGAAGGGAGAGGGAGAAAAAGAGGTAGAAAATCAATGATGAGAGAGAATCATTGACCAGCTGCCTCCTGCACGCCCCACACTGGGGATCGAGCCTGCAACCTGGGCATGCGCCCCAACAGGAATCGAACCTTCAGTCCTTAGGCAGACGCTCTCTCCACTGAGCCAAACCAGCGAGGGCGGAAGAGTGGACATTTCTGTCGTCAGTCTTCTCTGGAATGGCCTTCCACAGTCTCAAAAGTGTTTTAGGAAGAAACTTTGAGTCTGTTTTTTTAATGTGTCTACTCAAAAAGCATTAAGATAATAGCATCTCGGCTTTTGATCACAGACCTCTTGCTATGTCTGATACATATATTGTCTTAAATTCTGAAACCAGGCCCAGGACACAGACATTTTCAAGAAAAAGAAGAGGAAAGGGCAGGAGGACAGGTAAGTGACACCACACGGCGTGAGGGCGGACGGCGTGGGGAAGCTGTGGCTGAGTTTTGGGGATAAGGCCGGGGGTCACTGGGGGTCTAGCCTGTCCCAGGGCTTCCCTGTGAGGGGAAGGCAGGACTGAGTCAACTGCCCACCTCGAGCAGCGACCTCAGGACTGGATCGGGAACCTTCTCCAGTCTCCTGTTTCCAAAGATCCACACCTGCAAGCGACCAGTGGAAACACTGAGGTTGACATTTCCAACAGAGACTTCTGTCCCCTGTCCCTGTCCCCTGTCCCCTGCAGGTGTGACCGCCGTCCCAGTCCCGTGGGGAGTGGCTGGCCTCCAGGCAGAGCGCCGTGATCTAATAACTGATATTGATGGTGTTGCTTATGGGTGTTTCTTAGCTTTTGTTCTAGTGCCTCTTCTCCCCCCCTCCCCGCCCCCCTTTCTGTTTCAAAATTGGCTCCTGTTACCTCAACCTCTTTCTTGGCCTCCAGCGAACTTGCCCTCGCCTTCAGCTGGCACGTGTCCTGGCCGTGCCAGGCATGTAGGCGGCTTAGGTGTGCAGCCATGAGCACCTGGAGGGCATCCCTGCCCTCGAGGCCCTGACACTGTGGTGAGGGAAACACACCAAAACATACAACAGACAGTGCAGGGTGCCAAGCTGGCATCTCCGCTCCGCTCCGCCCCGTTAGAGGTTGAGAGGCAGCGTTGTGAAAGGAGATGCCTGGGGGCAGGCCGGATGTCGTCCAAGGAGGTGACAGGGAGGTGACACCTGGGGAAGAGGAGGGACAGCTGGAAAGCTCAAGTGGAAGGAACCAGTACAGAGACCCTGCGGCAGATGGCGTGTCTGAGGGACCAGGGAAGACCATGGAGGGCAGGGCTTTGCTGGAGCCATCATGTGGTCTGGCCGGTGGTGGTGCTGCGACCCTCTGAGCCTGGCTCTAAACCAGCGGTTCTCAACCTGTGGGTCGCGACCCTTTCACAGGGGTCGCCTAAGACCATCGGAAAACACATATATAATTACATATTGTTTTTGTGATTCATCACTATGCTTTAATTATGTTCAATGTGTAACAATGAAATTGGGGGTCACCACAACATGAGGAACTGTACTAAAGGGTCGCTCTCTCTTTAAACATAGGAAATCCAAGAAGAAGAAAGCAGCTCCCAGTATTCTGTCAAGTGGACGGATTGGCCAGGTTGGAAAATTCAAAAATGGGACCTTGATTCTGAGCCACGTCGACATCAGGAAGATAAACTCCTCCCGCGTGGCTAAGTGAGCTGCTGCCGAGCGACAGGGGTGGGGAAGCCCTTGTACTGAGACTGGGCCGGCCAGACTCCAGACTGTTATTTATTTCCTGTTTCCTGACTGTTCTTTGAGGGAAAATCCGATAGAACCAGGAAAGCTTCTGGGGCTCATGTGTCTGCGGGGCCACGTTGGGCCAACCACGCGCCGTGCGCATGTGAAGTGAACCTGGTGAAAGACGTTTAATTTTCCCAGCGCATCTGTCACTCGAGTGTCACTTTCACTGGTGTTTTGTGCATTCGCTCGTAAGAAGATTTCTCAGGAATGTACTGATTTATAAGGGCTAATAATTAACTTTCAATCGCCATTTAATTTTCTAAAAACGATTTGGTGTCACTATTGTGAAAGAGCTAACAATGTGGTCATTTGTCAAGTTATTTTGTGGGAAAAGCAGCTTCCATGTTCAGTCTCAAGTATATAAAGTCTACTTCACAGGAAGGGACGTAAATAAAATTCACCCTTTGGGGCGTGTGTGGCCGTGACTGTGAAATAACAGGTGCATTTGACTCATGTCCTAGAACCTATGTGTAAGCGACCGCCAGTCCCTTAAGGCAACCCCTGGGCAGCTAGCACGTTTCTTAGTGCTCTCGCCCTGGCTGAGAGCGTCTGGGGTTTCTCACAGCTTGCGGCACATTTAAGAAAAGTCCTCAGCCCGGGCAGTGTGGCTCAGTGGCCGAGCGTCAACCTGTGAATCAGAAGGTCACGGTTCGATTCCCGGTCAGGGCGCAGGCCCCGCTTACAGTCTCGATCCCCAGTGGAGGGCGTGCAGGAGGCAGCCTATCCATGATTCTCTACCACCATTGATGTTTCTCTCTCTCCCTCTCCCTTCCTCTCTGAAATCAATTATTTTTATATGTTTGGGGAAGGGTAGACCCGCGCCCAGCAGTCATCATAGACCACACCTCGTCTTTCAGTTGCTGGCAGTGTCAAAAGAATTTATTTCAAATCTGCTTGAGACCGTGGTAAAACTCAGGTTTTCCAAAAGGCAGTACACAAAGTTCCACCAACCCCCAAAGACCAGAAAACACAGTGTCTGCAATCCAAAAAATACAAAGGCTGTGGGCACCGATACAAAAATTAGAAAAAGCCCCCCCTCCCCCCTCCGGGCTTCCTGTGGAACTCGAACACCTAAGGGACCAAGGGCTGCCACCAAACACCACCAACCAGTGACAACGT